TTGAGGTCACCTCGGAGCCATATTCCATTGTGGTGAAGCTTCGTGGTTTCGTTGGGAGCCTCCAATTAAGTTGTGGAGAGTGCCCCAACCTTGTTTGTAAAGGTTCGGTCGCCGCCTTCAAGGGCACCAATAGTGGAATCACGGCATCTCGCATTGTGTGTGGGCGTGAGGAGAATACGGTGGCCCTAGTGGCTTCTTAGGGAGCATTGTGCCTCCACACCACTCCAACGGAGACGTACTTCCCCTCAAAGGGAAGGAATTTCGGTAACACATCCTCGTCTCCACCGTCTCCACTCTTGGTTATCTCGTGCCTTTACTTGTGCAAGCTTATTTGTGTCATATCTCTTGCTTGCTTGTGTTCCTATCCTTGTTGCATCATATAGATTGCTCACCTAGTTGCATATCTAGACAACCTACTTTGATGCAAAGTTTAAATTGTTAAAGAAAAACTAAAATTGTTAGTTGCCTATTCACCCCCCCTCTAGTCAACCTTATCGATCCTTTCAACTACAGTTGTGTCAAAAAAAGTCTTACATTATGGGACGGAGGGAGTACAATCTTAACATGAAGTTTTAAAATGAAGTGATTCAAATCTGACTTCAACTTGTCTGCACATATGTTATAGTTATCTTCTTTAAGCGACCACATATGCTCAATCAGATCACTCGGAAGCTACTCATGAGTTCCTCGATGTCGAATCCATTGATGCATTTGGCTAAAATCCTGGAACATCATCGAACTCTACTCAGGAAGTTGGATAGATCACCCATGTGCTCAAATTTCAGACCTCCGTCAAATCCTTCACCCTCATTCTCCAATCATGATGTGCATGATCACACAAGTTGTCATTACCCTCCACAACGTGTTTGAATCTCATAATTGCAAAACAGTCTAGAGCATTCCAAATGTCTTCTCCACATCATTTCTAGCTCTTTCTTATCTTTGGGCAAAGTGAGCTCTTTTGTGAGTACTTGGCTCAAAGATGGTCTTGGCAAAGGTCGCCCACAAAGGATAGATACCATCTATTTGATTATAGCCCGTATTATAGTCACGACCATTGATGTTGTAGTTGCATGGAGTTCGCCCCACAGTCAACCTAGCACATAATGGAAACCGTTGCAGGACATTGATGTCATTGTAAGATCCGGGCATTACAAATAAAGAGTGTCAAATCCAAAGGCCTAGCGATGCAACCGCTTCAAGAATGATGGTGGTCTTCTTAACATTACCTAGATATTGCCCTTGTTTAGCATATGACAGTTCTTCCATTTCTAGTGCATACAATCAAGGGATGTTAGCATACATGGCCACCCTCTTGCTTCTGAGAGTGCTATGATGCATTCGGTGTCTACGGCAGTTGATTCTCTCAAGTACTGCGGTCCAAACATCTGGACCACCGCAGTAGCAAACCTAATCATGGCATCTCCGCATGTACCTTCAGACATCGGGAGGTACTCGTGCTACGAATATGCGGCCGTGCCATAGTAAGCATCCTCAATGCAGCCATGCACTTCTTGTAACTAGAGAAGTCAATGGTTCCAACAGCGTCCTTCTTCAAGATAAAGTAGTTATCATAGGCTCGGACACCATTGTGCCTCCACACCGCTCCAACGGAGACGTACTTCCCCTCAAAGGGAAGGAACTTCGGTAACACATCCTCGTCTCCACCGTCTCCACTCTTGGTTATCTCGTGCCTTTACTTGTGCAAGCTTATTTGTGTCATATCTCTTGCTTGCTTGTGTTCCTATCCTTGTTGCATCATATAGGTTGCTCACCTAGTTGCATATCTAGACAACCTACTTTGATGCAAAGTTTAAATTGTTAAAGAAAAACTAAAATTGTTAGTTGCCTATTCACCCCCCCTCTAGTCAACCTTATCGATCCTTTCAACTACACTTGTGTCAAAAAAAGTCTTACATTATGGGACGGAGGGAGTACAATCTTAACATGAAGTTTTAAAATGAGGTGATTCAAATCTGAATTCAACTTGTCTGCACATATGTTATAGTTATCTTCTTTAAGCGACCACATATGCTCAATCAGATCATTCGGAAGCTACTCATGAGTTCCTCGATGTCGAATCCATTGATGCATTTGGCTAAAATCCTGGAACATCATCGAACTCTACTCAGGAAGTTGGATAGATCACCCATGTGCTCAAATTTCAGACCTCCGTCAAATCCTTCACCCTCATTCTCCAATCATGATGTGCATGATCACACAAGTTGTCATCACCCTCCACAACGTGTTTGAATCTCATAATTGCAAAACAGTCTAGAGCATTCCAAATGTCTTCTCCACATCATTTCTAGCTCTTTCTTATCTTTGGGCAAAGTGAGCTCTTTTGTGAGTACTTGGCTCAAAGATGGTCTTGGCAAAGGTCGCCCACAAAGGATAGATACCATCTATTTGATTATAGCCCGTATTATAGTCACGACCATTGATGTTGTAGTTGCATGGAGTTCGCCCCACAGTCAACCTAGCACACAATGGAAACCGTTGCAGGACATTGATGTCATTGTAAGATCCGGGCATTACAAATAAAGAGTGTCAAATCCAAAGGCCTAGCGATGCAACCGCTTCAAGAATGATGGTGGTCTTCTTAACATTACCTAGATATTGCCCTTGTTTAGCATATGATAGTTCTTCCATTTTCAGCGCATACAATCAAGGGATGTTAGCATACATGGCCACCCTCTTGCTTCCGAGAGTGCTATGATGCATTCGGTGTCTACGACAGTTGATTCTCTCAAGTACTGCGGTCCAAACATCTGGACCACCGCAGTAGCAAACCTAATCATGGCATCTCAGCATGTACCTTCAGACATCGGGAGGTACTCGTGCTACGAATATGCGGTCGTGCCATAGTAAGCATCCTCAATGCAGCCATGCACTTCTTGTAACTAGAGAAGTCAATGGTTCCAACATCGTCCTTCTTCAAGATAAAGTAGTTATCATAGGCTCGGACACCATTGTAGAGGCGATCAAAAACATTTTTTCGCATCCGAAAGCGTCGGCGAAAATGGTCCGCGAATAAGGCATCGGTGACAAAGTAGTCGTCCATCAGCATCAAATGGCCCCGTGCCCTATTCTTGTCCAACACTCGATGTCCCTTGATTGCCCCCTTGAAATTGAGAATTCGCGTCTGCAAGGACCACCCTCATCATCGCTGTTTAATCCTCGTATTCGTCCTCTATGAAGTTGTTGTAGAAGTCCCCCATGTCTGAATCCATCGTGTTTGCTTCAAAGTATGGAAAAAATTGTCAACAATTTCGCTATGGCATTTGACCAAGCACTTGCCGGGAGTGGTGTTCCCCATGGACGACATCCACAGGTGCGGACGGACGAGGGGTAGAACGACGGCAGACTCCAAGGCGGGCAGACACGTGGGGTGGGATGGCTGAGGTTCGACAAGGCTAGGGCGGGCGGCCGAGGTGGTACAACGACAACATCGGTCTAGGAGGGAGCGGATACATCATAGGGGGGGGGGGGCAGTGTGAGAAACCCGCGTCTCTGGGTGAGCCAGTGGCGTTGGAATCCTACATGACAGAGGTCCAGACGCTCGCAAATCTCCTCTTGGGTTGGTGTCGGTTTGCAGGAAGTCTGGGCACACATGCGCTCCCGTGGACATTTGCGGCACGGTGTTGGATGGCAGAAAAACATCCAGACACCATGATCCGGACATTTAAGGGCGGTTTGGGGTATAGTGTTGGAGCTCACCTCAGAGGCTTCAGAAAAAACACTAAAGAAATACCACATCTAGAAGAACATTTATTCCGCAATTTGAACAGAGATACGGTGCATGGCTCCAAAATTTGCTTACATGGCAGTAGATCTGCCAGTATTCGTTCAGAATAACACCAACGGTTGCTCTCCCGGTCCCAGTTTGAAGCCACGAAGTCATAGGCTCCATTCTTGTTTGATTTGCATTTGGAACACAAACACTGCTAGGAGCTCAAGATACTGGGTTTGACTAGTAGAAAGAGGCGCACCTAAAAAGTGGAAATAGAGCTGATCAGGACAGCACAAAATGCATATCCTTTTATAACACATTCAAGGCTTAAACTTCACCCAATTTTTTGACCAGAAACCCAAGAACATCAACTAACTCTTCCCCTACTTTCTCCCCTAATCCTTCCAGGTTTCTCCTAGCAAGAGAACAGCAGGAGCAAGGCAACACGGCCCAAATTCTTTATACCATGTAGGGAGCGAGCATGTATACCGCAGAAATCAAAACTAAATTAACAGAGAAAAACATAGGGTGGATAGGGAAGAACGAGTAAAAAGGCGAGAACTTTACCATGCCTGTCCCTGCCTTCTGAAAGCATCAGGGCTTTGATCCCAGATTATGCACAAACAAGACATTTATTCCCCAAGAGTACGGATGCAAACAAATGAAACTTATCAGGAGATAAGCTCCCATAATAGCATAATCTTCTATTCAGAATGCAGCAATTGCCTCCTGATGTGGATGAACAATTTATTCTTATGCAGAACATGATGCAAGCTGTATGATACTCAGATTTATCATACAATCAGATCCTGGATTTGTACAAAGGGGGTCATCTGCACGATGGTATTGCACGAAAATCTTGCACAAGGTATTATTCATCCCACTGGCTCATCTTACAACAGCAATTGATAACTTATGACACCATACAATATGTTACCACAAGTAGAGGCAGATCTAGATGGCGTGCCTTGGTAATGATCAAAGATGTTCTTTATTAGTCCACAGTTGAACTCCAGAAGCTACAAGAACAGCAGGTGGAACAGGACCAAAATTTATGTGTCAAACAAAACAAGGCCCCAGAACAGGGTGCAAGTTTGGGGCTTCACGCCCTCATGTAAACTGGAATCGTAATAAACTGACCAACAATTGAGAAATATATAGATGCTCCAAGGCATACTGCTACATGTCAATACTCTAGGCTGCAAAACTAGAAGACAAGGAGAATCATTTTGCCTTCTCTTCGTATGGAATCGCCGTTCTCCTCACTTCAAACAGATGCGGCGGCTCCCTGCTGTTTGTGCGCAAACTCGATGCCCTTCTCGATGCTGGCCTTCAGCTCAGGCTTCAATGCCTCGAGTGCATTGGCCTCGTACTCAGTTATTCCCTCCAGGTCCAAAGAAATGATGGACTCAACACCATTCTTGCCAATCTTAACTCTGGACGCAAAGAATGGCAGCTCAGTTAACTCAGACTGAACATACGTGCACTCATAAACATCTGGATCACCAGCCAGTGCACGGAGTGAAGACTCAACAAATCTGGCAGCAGCATAAGCCATGGACAGGGTAGCAGATCCAGCACCCGCTTTCGCCTCCACCACCTCTGTCCCAGCGTTCTGTATCCTCTTCGTCAGCTGTTCAGTTTCCTCATCCGTGAAGGTGACAGATGGCCTCGTCTTTGACAACAAAGGCAGGATTGTAATTCCAGCATGACCACCAACAACTGGGACATCAACATCAATGAGCTTGAGGCCCTTCTTCTGAGCTACGAATGTGTTAGCTCGGACAACATCTAGGGTGGAAACCCCAAAAAGCTTCTTGGGATTGTAGACACCCTTCTGTTTCAGAATCTCAGCAGCAATCGGCACTGTGGAGTTGACTGGGTTGCTGATAATATGGATAAAGGCATCAGGGCAATTGTCTGCAACAGCCTCGATAAGTGACTTGACGATGCCCGCATTGATGTTGAAAAGATCATCACGAGTCATCCCAGGCTTTCTAGGGACCCCGGCGGGGATGACAACAACATCCACACCTTTCAAGCAGCTGGCTAATTCCGCTGGGCCAGTGAAGTCCATGACCTGAGAAGGTGTGTTGCAGTGGCTGAGATCAGCAGCGACTCCCTTGACATTTGCAATATCGTACAGTCGCAGCTCCGAGACCAGAGGAGACATCTTGATCAGCAGGCCCAATGGTTGGCCGATGCCCCCAGCAGCACCAAGTACCGCCACTTTGTAAGATGCCTCCGGTAGTATCCGAGCCCCAGACTTCGCCTTGGGCACAACCCTTGTGGTAACAGATGCCCGAAGAGACCCGGTCTTGCCCAGGAACGAGGATCCCAATTCGAAGTTAATTGATGAGGACGCCTTTAAGCCACCGATGCCATGATTCCTTGGCTTTGAAACCAGAGCAGCCTGAGCGCCAACTGAACTGATGGTAGCAGATGATGCCATGTCCAACTGTAGGAACAGAATAATATCAGATTTGTAAAAAAACATAAAAATCTCTTGCAAGAATCGATAGAACGGCTGATGACACACTACGGGAGCATACAATTGATCCAGATCTTGAACACTAATACGTGATCCAGGGGCGGATCTAGTTGGTTGCCAGGTTTTGCACCCGGAAATTATGAAGATCCCCTCTCCCCACCATAGTGGGATTCATCAATTGATTCAACAACTAACAGAAGTGATGCTGCGCTGGAGGAAAACAACCTAGCTGTTGCTCGTACCTCGAAGGAAGGAAGGAGACCCAGTGGCCGGAGACTGGGACGGGGTGGAGGCAGCAGCAGGATGTCCCGGAGGCCGGGGAAGAAGGGGAACGGCGGTGGCGGCGTCGACGTCGACGTGCGTCCCCAAGAAGACGGAGGAGGGCGCGGGATCGAGGTCGCGGCGCCGGCGGTGACGATGAGGGATGGCAAGGCGGCGGGTGACGCTTTGGCGGAAGGGCAGGGGGGAGTGGAAAGAAAAAGAATGGGCCACCAACCACTGGCCGATCCCTTGCGTTGGTTTCATCGGACAGGTTTTTGGCCGTACGATGGGAGTCATTTCCAGCGTCAGAGTCCGAATAATGAACAATTCTATCCGTTGAACATTTTGCACGAATAAATCGTATACATTGGTTATAATAAAGTATTTTGTCAGATGACTTAGTATACCAATCTTTATTTTCAATGTAAATTAGGCATTGCTACGCGTCGGCCGGCAGATCTTTCCGCCTCGCGAAACATTGGATCGGGCGGAGTGAACGGTCAAGCGTCACCTTTTACCATCGCAACAAAGGTCGCGTGTTGGAAATATGAGCAAGTTACTACGAGATTTAATCCGAATAATTAGAAGATAAATCTTGACTACAGTAATAGAGATTAAACTAATCATGCGAACTAGCATAGCAGATGAACAGATCACATCTAGGGCACATACTAGAAACATGAATTCTACCACGATCTCGAACAGGAAGGATAGAATCACATACGGTGCAGCGGGAGCAGCACCGCCGGCGTTGACGTTGTCGCCCATGTCGTCGAGGATGAGGTTGCCGAGGTCGGGGAAGAAGTCGTTGTTCGCGAAGTCGTCGCTGCCAGCAGTCGCGCGAGTGCGCTCCCCAAAAACGTGATCGCCCCTCTCCCGTACAGGATCACGAGAGACGGGGTTCCGGAGGCCTGCTGTCCCTTCTCCCGATGCACGCCGAAAGGTGGTGAGAAATCATACGAAGCGGCGGCGGCTAGGGTAGACGTCTGCCTGACTATATAGTGCGGACCGAATAGGTCGTGGGAGTAAACCCCACGTCCGAGTCGTCACGATCCAAGTGGTAGAAGAGCTCGCCTTATAAAGAGGTGCAACTCTCTCTCAACTTCCGGGGTGGGACTAAACTTTAGCCTCACTCACTCCACTCACATGTGTGCATGAATGGGCCAAGAGAATTTCAAAATTTTAGTTGGGCTTTGGGTCAAAGGCCTACTAGCAAAATTCCAACAACCCCCCACAAAGTCTCATTAGACCATCTCATCATTTAGTTCCAAAACATTGTGTTATATACCGGTGCTTAGTGGAGACTGTGAAGTTGAACTTCCACTTAGAGATTTATGTTACACTAGATCACAACTTGAATAGTGGACTATGCCTTGAACTACAAGTTTTCTGCGAGACTAGTTTCACACAAATTCTTGACTGATACTGGGCAGCCGCAAGGCTTCCCCGCGGGTGGAGCGTATACGTCATACTCCAGGGCCTTTTCATGAATTTATTAAAGAACACCCAATTCTCACAGACTGCGACGTTAATAGTCAAATTCATATAGATGTGTTTCTCAGAAGATATTCTGCAGGACAACATCTCTGCTTACCCGAATAAGCCACTTGGAACATATTAAGATAAGTATCAACCTGCCATGCAGATCAGGAGAGTATTGCATCTTCATGGAGTGGGATATGTAATATAGGGATACTCTCCTCCCAGCTGACCAACAACTTGTCTCTCACTTCTACTTCACGGGATCTCCGATCACATAGAGTGGGTTACCACTATGGACAACTCATGCGGTGGGTCTGAGACCCATCTCCATCGATGCATTATCTATCACATTACGTGATAGACCCTTTGTGAAGGGATCTGCCAAATTTTTCGACGTTTGGATATAATGCAACATAATAACGCCGGAGTTCCTCAATTTTCTGACAGATTTCAGTCTTCTCTTCACATGCCTTAAGGACTTCATATTGTCCTTTGAACTGTTTATTTTGACGATCACAGTTTGATTATCACAGTTCATCAGGATAGGGGGTATTGGTTTTTCAACCATAGGTAAGTGTTGGGTAATGTAGTAATTTCAAAAAATTTCCTACGCACACACAAGATCATGGTGATGCATAGCAACGAGAGGGGAGAGTGAAGTCTACGTACCCTCGTAGACCGGCAACGGAAGCATTGACACAACGTAGAGGAAGTAGTCGTACGTCTTCCTGATCCGACTGATCCAAGTACCGAACGTACGGCACCTCTGAGTTCTGCACACGTTCAACTCGGTGACGTCCCTCGAGCTCCGATCCAGCAAAACATTGAGGGAGAGTTTCGTCAGCACGACGGCGTGATGACGGTGATGATGTTCTACCGATGCAGGGCTTCGCCTAAGCACCGCTACGATATGACCGAGGTGGAATATGGTGGAAGGGGGCACCGCACACGGCTAAGAAACAATCACGAAGATCAACTTGTGTGTCATGGGGTGCCCCCTTGCCCCCGTATATAAATAAGGGAGAGGGGGAGGTGCGGCCGGCCCTAGGGGTGCGCCTGGAGGAGTCCTACTCCCACCGGGAGTAGGACTCCCCCTTCTTGCCTTGTTGGAAAAGGAAGGGGGAAGGGAGAAAGAGGAAAGGGGGCGCCCCCTCCCTTCCTTGTCCTATTCGGACTAGGGGTGGAGGGGGCGCGCGGCCTGCCCTGGCCGGCCCTCCACTTCTCCCTTATGGCCCATGTAGGCCCAATAACCCCCCCGGGGGGGGGGGGGTCCGGTAACTCCCCGGTACTCCTGTAAAATCCCGATTTCACCCGGAACGTTTCCGATATCCAAATATAGGCTTCCAATATATCAATCTTTATATCTCGACCATTTAGAGACTCCTCGTCATGTCCGTGATCACATCTAGGACACTAAACAACCTTCGGTACATCAAAACACAAAAACCCTAAGCGTGCGGACCCTACGGGTTCGAGAACTATGTAGACATGACCGAGACACGTCTCCGGTCAATAACCAATAGCGGAACCTGGATGCTCATATTGGCTCCTACATATTCTACGAAGATCTTTATCGCTTAGACCGCATAACAACATACGGTGTTCCCTTTGTCATCGGTATGTTACTTGCCCGAGATTCGATCGTCGGTATCTCAATACCTAGTTCAATCTCGTTACCGGCAAGTCTCTTTACTCGTTCCGTAATACATCATCCCGCAACTAACTTATTAGTTGCAATGCTTGCAAGGCTTAAGTGATGTGCATTACCGAGAGGGCCCAGAGATACCTCTCCGACAATCGGAGTGACAAATCCTAATCTCGAAATACCCAACCCAACAAGTACCTTCGGAAACACCTGTAGAGCACCTTTATAATCACCCAGTTATGTTGTGGCGTTTGGTAGCACACAAAGTGTTGCTCCGGTAAACGGGAGTTGCATAATCTCATAGTCATAGGAACATGTATAAGTCATGAAGAAAGTAATAGCAACATACTAAACGATCGGGTGCTAAGCTAATGGAATGGGTCATGTCAATCACATCATTCTCCTAATGATGTGATCCCGTTAATCAAATGACAACTCATGTCTATGGTTAGGAAACATAACCATCTTTGATCAACGAGCTAGTCAAGTAGAGGCATACTAGTGACACTCTGTTTGTCTATGTATTCACACATGTATTATGTTTCCGGTTAATACAATTCTAGCATGAATAATAAATATTTATCATGATATAAGGAAATAAATAATAACTTTATTATTGCCTCTAGGGCATATTTCCTTCAGTCTCCCACTTGCACTAGAGTCAATAATCTAGATTATACAGTAATGATTATAACACCCATGGAGCCTTGGTGCTGATCATGTTTTGCTCGTGGAAGAGGCTTAGTCAATGGGTCTACAACATTCAGATCCGTACGTATCTTGCAAATTTCTATGTCTCCCACTTGGACTAAATCCCGAATGTAATTGAAGCGTCTCTTGATGTGCTTGGTTCTCTTGTGAAATCTGGATTCCTTTGCCAAGGCAATTACACTAGTATTGTCACAAAAGATTTTCATTGGACCCGATGCACTAGGTATGACACCTTGATCGGATATGAACTCCTTCATCCAGAATCCTTCATTTGCTGCTTCCGAAGCAGCTATGTACTCCGCTTCACATGTAGATCCCGCCACGACGCTTTGTTTAGAACTGCACCAACTGACAGCTCCACCATTCAGTATAAACACGTATCCGGTTTACGATTTAGAATCGTCCGGATCAGTATCAAAGCTTGCATCAACATAACCATTTACGATGAGCTCTTTGTCACCTCCATATACGAGAAACATATCCTTAGTCCTTTTCAGGTATTTCAGGATGTTCTTGACCGCTGTCCAGTGATCCACTCCTGGATTACTTTGATACCTCCCTGCTACACTTATAGCAAGGCACACATCAGGTCTGGTACACAGCATTGCATACATGATAGAGCCTATGGCTGAAGCATAGGGAACATCTTTCATTTTCTCTCTATCTTCTGCGGTGGTCGGACATTGAGTCTTACTCAACTTCACACCTTGTAACACAGGCAAGAACCCTTTCTTGCTTGATCCATTTTGAACTTCTTCAAAACTTTGTCAAGGTATGTGCTTTGTGAAAGTCCAATTAAGCGTCTTGATCTATCTCTATAGTTCTTAATGCCCGATATGTAAGCAGCTTCACCGAGGTCTTTCATTGAAAAACTTTTATTCAAGTATCCCTTTATGCTATCCAGAAA